AGACCACACTCCTCTGGCTAACATCTCCTGATAGCTGACAGGTGTTTATTTGACTTACAGAGATTAGTCTGTTCAATGGTAGGGTAATGGAAAATAATACCTACATTTAATTTTTATCAAAATATATTCTAAAAAATAAGTAAAGAAATATATCTCAAATAATTTCCAATTACACGATAAACACTCTTATTCTCCACATACAAATGGGTAACTATCAAAACATATCTATGGGGTGAAATAAACAAAATATAAAAAATGTCATACCTGGGCACGTGCTCTCGATGGCTGTGAGGCCACTCACATTTCAAATGAAATATTGTACAATTCCCATGACTTTTACTTCTTCTCATTAATTGGCTTTACTCTACATCTCATGAGAAAACTTTAAACTGCAACCAGACCCATGACAACCATTATTCTATTCTAAAATTAAAGATGAAATACAGCAGCAAGCATTTCCCTTCCGTACCCTTCCGGCCTAACCATCGAGAGAGCGTTGTCAACAAAACGTTCCAACACTTTTCCTAAATAATCGACATTTCACTTTGTATCTTAATCCAACTAAATATTAGCATCTTCTTGATCCTCACATTTGTATTAAATGAGGAAAAAACATTTTATATAGATCAATTAATGAAATCAAACGGATAATACTCAACAGATGCAAATAAATCATAAACCACTTTTAAAAGTATAAAATATCGTTCCAGAAATTAAACCATTATTTCTATGATGCACTACTAGATAATTGCTTTAACCTATATAAAAAAATATCACAAGAAAAATTAGGATATGAGAGGATTAGTGTAACATCCCCCCTCCCAAAAGAGGCATGAGTCAGCCACAGGTTGACTCATGACTACATGGCATACGGGACAATGTGTCAGCTACTACATTTTCTTTCCCCTTCACATGTTCAATAATCAAATTATAATCCTGTAACAAAAGACTCCACCTTGTCAATCTTTGATTTACATTCTTCATCTTATGCAAAAATACAAGTGGGTTATGATCTGTATAAACTTGGATTGCTTTATTCAACCCTCTCAAATAAACATCAAAATGGTTCAAACTCAAAATCAGTGCCAATGATTCTTTTTCAATGGTACTATAGTTCTTTTGATATGATAAAAATTTCTTTGAGAAATAACAAATAGGGTGATCAACACCATCTTTCTCTTGCATTAAGACTCCACCAATTCCAAAATCACTAGCATCTACATACAATTTGAAAGGTACATCATAATTTGGGGTGGAAAGAATAGGTGCATTTATAAGTATCTGTTTCAGTTTCCTAAAGGCTTCATCAGCCTGAGCACTCCACACAAATTTTACTTTCTTTGACAGTAAGTTGGTCAAGGGAAAAGCAATGGTTGAGTAGTTATTACAAAATCTACGATAATATCCACTCATACCCAAAAATCTTAACAATTCTTTCCTATTGTTCGGAATGGGGTAATTCACAATACTTTCCACCTTAGCATCAATTGGCTTGACAGTTCCTTGCCCCACAATATAACCTAGATATTCCACAGTTGCTTGGGCAAATTCACTCTTCACGAGGTTTACAGTCAGATTTGCTCGATTCAGTTTATCAAATACTTCTTTGATTATATGCACATGTTCTTCCCAAGTTTTTGAATACAAGATTATGTCATCTATATACACTGCACAGCCTTTTACATTACACAATACTTGATTAACTAGTCTCTGGAATGTACTACCACTGTTTTTCATACCGAATGGTAACACTTTATATTGATATAGACCATCCATAGTTACAAATGCTGAAATCTCTTTAGCTCTCGCAGTTAGTGGTACTTCCCAGTATCCTTTCAATAAATCTATTTTAGTTACATATTTAGCCTCACCTATCTGATCAATGCAGTCATCTATTCTTGGGATAGGATAAGAATCAGCTTTAGTTACATTATTTACTTTCCGGTAATCTGTACAAAATCTATAAGAAATCCCATCAGACTTAGCAACTAGTACGCATGGTGAACTCCAAGGACTATTACTCTTTTCAATCAAGTCATTTTCAAGCATATACTCTACTTCTTTCCTCATTATCTCTCTCAATTTAGGATTCACTCTATAAGGGTGTTGTTTAATCGGAGATGTGTCTGTAACCTCCACATCATGTTGTAACACATCAGTTCTCCTAGGAACATCAGAAAACAGAGGTTTAAAATCCTGTACAATTTGCATAATTTGACCCTTCTTCTCATTTCCCAAATGGTTGAGTTTCTGTGCTAAATTATTTATTGCATCTGAATTTTTCAAGAGCTTATTTTCACACCTTTCAAGTTTTACATCATTTTCATATACCGTTTGTTCATCACTTAATTTTGTATATACACAGTTCACTTTGTTACTCACATTATTTTCTGTTGAATTTCTGTCATAATAAGGTTTTATCATGTTAACATGACACAACTGGTTCGGCTTGCGTTTTCCTGGGGTGCTCACTACATAGTTTAATTCTCCTACTCTCTTTTCAACTATCCAAGGACCTTGGAATCTTGCCTTCAAAGGGTTTCCTGTTTGGGGTAGCAATACTAATACTTTGTCACCCGGCTTGAACTCTCTGCTCTTAGACTTCTGATCGTACCATTTCTTCATATCCTCTTGACATTTCTTTAAGTTTTCTGCAGCAATTTCTCTAGCTCTAAATAATCTATTCTTAAAGTCGGACACATACTTTAGTAATCCTGGAGCATCGTCCTTCCCAATCCACTTCTCCTTCAGCATGCTCAGAGGACCTCTCACTTCATGTCCTATATACCAACTCGAATGGACTAAATCCAGTGGACTCTTGCACAGCATCTCTTATGGCAAACAAAGCTAAAGGTACACCCTCATCCCAGTCCATGGATAATTCTTCACAATACATTTTCAAAATATTTTTCAAAGTTTGGTGAAATCTTTCCACCACTCCCTGGCTCTGAGGATGATAAGCACTTGACAAATTATGTTTAATATGTAATCCCTTTAAAATTTTCTTGAACATTCCTGAAGTGAAATTACTTCCCTGATCTGATTGTACAATTTCAGGTAGACCTACCCAGGAAAAATATCTCACTAACTCCCTCACAATGTTCTTAGAGTGTATGCTACGCATTGGTATGGCTTCTGGAAATCTAGTGGATGCACACATGATAGTCAACAAATAGCAATTTCCTTTCCGTGTCCTAGGTAGAGGACCTACACAATCAATCACTATCTTGCTAAATGGTTTACAGAATGCTGGAATGGGCTTTAGAGGTGCAGGTTTTATAACCTGGTTTGGTTTACCTACTCTTTGGCATATCTCACATGTTTTACAGTAAACAGATACATCCTTTTTCATATTTGGCCAATAATAATGGGTCAACAACCTGTCAGTGGTCTTTCTGACTCCCAAATGTCCAGATAAATATGAATCATGGGACAAAGCAATAACATGTTCCCTATATTCCTTTGGGACTACAATCTGCTTCCTCACCTCCCAATGATCTGATACTGGAACATCCACAGGTCTCCACTTTCTCATTAATACATCACCATGTACATAAAATCCAATAGTTACATCATTCTCTCCACCATTACGCTTTGCTTCACTCCAACATCCCGTCAAACTCTCATCACCCATCTGAAATTTTACCAATTCCTTTTTGTCAACAACAAAATCAGGTAATATATCTATTTTCATTTTTATAGTACCCTGTTCATTCTTCTTTACTTCTACTGCATCACCATTTGTTGCTAACTCTTCCTCAAATAAATTCCCTACTTCTACTTCATTAATTTCTTCTCCTATCTTTGACATTGCTCTGGTCACGACACAGGCAGGGTATATCTCATTATTTGTCTCTCTCTTCTCTACAGAAGCTTCCCCCTTGAGTGGGTTTTCACACATAATAGGTTCAGGGATTGTCTTATCACCAGCTAAGTCATTCCCTAACAGCATCTGTACTCCTGGTACTGGAAGTTCATCCTTTACTCCTACTTCAACAATGCCATTCACAAACCCGCTCTCAAGACTCACATTATGCAGTGGGACAGTCATGCCTAATCCTAACCCTTTTATGCATACATCCCTTCCAGTGTAAGATTCACTGGTCCATTCTAATAATCCTTTTAAAATTAAACTTTGATTTGATCCAGTATCTCTTAAAAATAATATTTTCTTCTCTGGAATACCTTTAAGACTAACCCTTCCTTCAAATATAAATGGTTCAAAATCCACAGGTTTCTGTTTTCTTACATTATAGTTGGCATCCCTAATGTCACACATATGTTGGGATTTTCCTCTACCCATAGTTAATCCCACAGACTTCTGGATACTCTGGCACTGACTTCTGACATGACCTATTTCTCCACACGCAAAACATTTCACTGGTGGTCTCTGTTGTCTGCTAAAATGCTGGTTGTAAGTTTGCTCAGATCTGGGATGCTTATTTACAGACTGTTCTTGGGGTTTCTTCTCTACAGTGTCTTGCAATATATAATTACTTCGACCTCTCTTGGCAAAATCTGAATTATTTGGCTTAAATTTGGAATATGACTGATGGCTGTAATTTCTGTCATATGCTGGGTTTGCATTATGCCTTACTTTATTTTGTCTATCGGACCTGTCTTCCCCATACATTCTATGTGCTACTTCAATGTGGTCAGCCAATCTCGCTGCGTCCATCAAATTTCTCACTCTACTCTTACCTATTTCATACCTTATGTCAGGAGGCACAATACTTTTGAAGTGTTCCAAAAGTATCAGCTCTCTCAGTTCACCCATCGTATTCACTTCTTCAGATTTACACCACCTATCAAATTTCATCCCACATATTCTAGCTATTTCTAAGTGAGTTTGTCCACTTACTTTCTTTATGTCTCTGAACCTTCTCCTATACACTTCTGGATCCTTTTCCACAGTCTTTAACACTGCTTCTTTGACAGTCCTATAATCTGTAGACTCCTCTATACTCAAACATACATATGCTTCTCGAGCTTTGCCCTTA